AGTAATACGTCGGTTACTCGCATGGGTCCTCGCGAATCTGTGATGGGGATAAATTATTGTTGGGGTGTGAGGGTGATAACCAGGCTTTAGAGATCGACTGGAGTTCGCTGGTCTCCCGACATCTGCCCTTTCCTGTTGACGGTCTTGTTTTCGACGAACGACTGACTAGACGAGTAACTACAGATTTGTAAATCAATTATAATTATTTCATGCAAACAACCTTTCCTTTTCTTTTTAAGGAAACATTTGAAAACATATTTCCTTTTTTCAACGCCGTGATTAAGCCGCGAATATATGTTTTACTGTGAAGTCTGTGAAGCATATGGAATCGAATTGAAGGTGTTCTCAGATGTCAAATTGCAGTCGACAACAACACAATGTATGTGTGATAAATTGTAGCGTTTCGGAAATTGATGTACTGTTTTTCCCGAAACCACCTCGCTTTTATAGCCAAAATCTTCTCTTACTCATTTTTGCATTCAGCCGCCTGGCAAATTTGCAATATCGATCGCCGAATTATTTGTAGACACAAGTCTTTACGTCTACAATGAAAAATATAAAGCCATATATGTCATATGTTGATCGTACTTTGAGAAATTATTAAGTCGTCGTCCCGGGGTCGTCGTTCCTGTTCCTGATTCCTGATACCGGATTTAATAAAGCCGGTTTTTTGTCTCAAATTCCCCGCAAATTCCCCATATATTTAATTCGATCGATAAACAAACTTGGAGTAATTCTTGAGTAGCGGTTCCTGTTCTCGCTACATTACGTCTACACAGATTACGTCGAAGTCCAGCAAAGAAAAGGGGAAAAAAAAGAACAGCCCGGTTTCGAACCTAAAAAAACAAGAATTTTCGAAGAAAATATAACCGGGCTTTTTCTTATCAAGCAAGAAAGCAGTTTTACTTGCTTTCTTGCTTGAAATCTATCAGATTAGTCACGGCAGTCACGCTGAAGTCTGATGTTTGCGTATAGTGCCTACTGTCACTGAATTTTCTTGCCTCTGAGCAGTCTTTGAAGATCATTCCTCAATATAAAGCCAGAGTTGAATAAGAGGAAAAAACACGACAACATAGGTACGAATCGTTGTTGAACCATGAATCGCAGACGTTCCGCGTTGCACCATCGTCATTCGCAGCTATTCTAGTCACAGTTCGACAAATTGCGTGAGTGAAAATGTGATATTGTGACGTAATGGTTGTTATTTATAAATCTTCTGCGTACAAGGAAGTGAAATGTTGCACCAACACGACAAAGTAATGTACTTCACACTAAATAAACAGCAGAGTATTCATGTTCAAATCAAAAGTAATAGCTTGATATGGAATTTGACCTAACGGCGACCCTGGTTTATCACAGACGTTGCGAAATCTCTTCAAGTCACGGTTAGACGTGACTTATGTGACCCCATGACGTAATCGTCCTTATTTATAAATCTGCATTTCTCAGCAAGTTTCTGTTTTTCTCAGAAAATATACGGAAAAGATATTATTTCACACAAAATGACAATTATTTAACAGGACAATATTCATAAAATATCATTTAGGCAAAGGATGACCCTGGTGGAATGTAACGTAACTTGATAAAAAAAATTTGATCTAATGGTGCTTCCAGTGTATGTGATGTACGTACGCAACTCACAGACAAGTCAAGTCACGATTCGACGTGACCCTATGACGTAAACGTCCAAATATAAATCTGCACGTCTCAGCAAGTTTCTGTTTACATAAATATGCGAGTCTGAACAAGTTTCTGTTTTCCTTTACGGAAAAGAAATGTATTTCACACAAAACAAACAGGACAATATTCATGACCCTGGCGAAATGTAAAACGTAGCTTGATAAAAAATTTGATCTAATGGCGCTTCTAGTAAGTGATGTACGTACGCAACTCACAGACAATCTCTTCAAGTGCCGATTCGACGTGCCCCTATGACGTAATCGTCCAAATATAAATCTGCACGTCTCAGCAAGTTTCTGTTTACATAAATCTGCGAGTCTGAGCACGTTTCTGTTTTCTTTTACGGAAAAGAAATGTATTTCACACAAAACAAACAGGACAATATTCATGACCCTGGCGAAATGTAACGTAGCCTTGATAAAAAATTTGATCTAATGGCGCTCCTAGTGTGTCCACCCGGTAGTGAGTACAATGATTTAATATTTTGACGAGTCAAAACTCACCGACATTGCGAAATCTGTATGCCGCTCCGATGTGTTTACGCGGTCCTAAATTAATATTTATTTGGACCAGTCCAACTTTCACATGTACATAGGCTCGATTTTCGCCGCTCTCTCGAGTCCGGGCTTCGTTCTTCCCCGAGAAAATTTTTCACAAGGCGAATATATATATTTATACTCTCCCCTAGCTCTCCTCCTAGCACTTTGGCGGAGTAGAGGTATAAGGTGAATCACGACAACAAAAAAACAGAAGCTATTTTACTAACCGGGCTGGGCCCTAGGCCCACGCCCAGTTAAAAAGGACCCCAGGCGTCGAACCCTCGCCCTCAGTCCCGAAGATCAGATTTAAAAGTTAGCGCCTTAGACCATTAGGCCACCAGCGCACCGTGTGACGTCATTTCCGCCACGTTCCTTTATCACAAATAAATATGATCGTAAACGCCAGACGAGATTTCGCTCCAGCTGAGCTCTTGGGGGACAGAATTATAAACCCCGCTACGTGAGGCCCGAGGAATTAATTTGGGATAAACAACATTAATTTTATCACATACTTGCATGGGATGGTATCAAAACACACCATTTTGAACTCGCGTCGTTTAAAAAAATACCTCCCGCACGCCTTGCGTGCCTATGTTTTACCACTGATATGATTTAAAACAACAGTGGGGTATCGATCGTGAGACATTTTCTTGTAATTTGTTTCTTTTTATCATAATTTAGCTGTTTTATTACATCGGCGCCAACATGATGAACAATTTACTGTTGAGGAAAGACCTGTGCCACTGGTCCAGAGGAATGCAGATCAGGTCAGTGATCAAAAGCTGTCTTCTCTTTGCACTCTCATAACAAATTCACGTAAATAGGTCACGAGAATAACGAACCTGATCATCTCAACAGAAATATCTTGATTTGAAACCAAATTCTCCCTACGAGAATTATTGGTGGTTTTCATCAATGTTACAAAAACTATTTGCTTGCATGAACAACAACATCAAATTAACAGGTTATAGAGCCGACAGAAAGAATTGTAGCAATGTAGCGTTTTTCATAACCGAGTTATTACGAAAATAGTTGTCAGAAAATTACAGTAAAGTTGGTGCCCTTCTTTGCGGCACCTGAATATGGCGGCCATAAAATTGTACAAGAATTAGAGTAGATTATATCATCAATATCATTAGCATTTACTTTGAAGCTCTTTAGATATCACTTCTAAATTATTACCACGTCTGAAAATTTCAAAATGACATAGAAATATCCGTTTTTGTAACAGTTTAGAAACACATTCATCGCCGGGGACATCATAAATTTCAAAATGTTTTATTTTCGAAACGAAGCACTGAATCGACACCAAACTTTGCATAGAGATTAATGTTTTGTATGTTTAGAATATACACTGAAACTAATAGTTTTGTAGGATTAACAGTTTAGATTTTAGAATTTTATGATGACTCCAGATGAAAACCGCCAATAGGAAATGTATTATAAACGGTGGGAAGTAGGATGTTGATCATCTCACCAGCGATGATCCAGATGATTCACTTGGCTTGTGTGTAGGATCGTTTGAAGCGACGTGGACTATTGAGAAGAACGTTAAACCAGTCTTACAAGTTTTTTTGCTTTGTTTTGCAACAGATTTAACCTTAGTCGGCTGGAGGACTGGGTCCGCTTGAATCAGCTGGAGGGCAGCGGTATCGTGGAAGCATTGGAGAACGTCATACAAGCGACACAATTACTCCAGGTCAACAAGAAGACGCTGGAAGACGTGGATGCGATTTGCGAAGTCTGCAGTTCCCTTAATACGTTACAGGTAAGACGGGTTTGAATTTTGAAGTCATCAGGCTCTTAGTTTTGAAGTCAGCTACGTTCAAACCGCTCCCATAAACATTAAGAGCAAGATTAATGTAATCAAGATATCGGTTGATCTTCGGCATTTTTAGGGAGACTATCGGAAGTGTTTGTGCTGGCCGTCGACGCGTCCGACATGGACGGAAGTCTTAAGGTCATCTTCGGAAATCTTCGGAGTCTTAGTACTATCTTCAGGTCAACTTTGGAAACTTCGTTAGCCCTCGGGCAATCTTTGGAAATCTTTGAAATAATTTCCCCCTCAACGAACAAAATTAACAAAAAATGCCATCTGTAAAACTAATGAGGACTCAATATTTTTCCCATGTATATTATAAAGATGCTGAACGTGGTTGTGATATTGATTTCAGGTTCAGAAGATTCTGTCGATGTACACGCCAGCTAATGAATACGAAGCTAGAGTACCTTTGTCTGTCATCCGCGCTGTGGTGGAACGAGGACACAACAAGACAGAACCAATGTACCTGATGAATGACACGGCTTACATGTATCCCTTCACACTTCCCTTCTCTCCATCAGCCGTGTCTTTAGAATCGCTGACCATCACTGAAAATCTCAACCTTGATCATGTTGATTTCATGAAGGTGGTATAAATTTAAGCACTTTTAAGCTTAAAAGCGGTTCAACTGTCTGTCGGGTTGGGGGTTTGTTGTTGAACAGGTTTTTGATTGGTTTAGATCGATTATGGCGTGGTGTGGTCCACCCAATCAGAGCTTACTTTATTCATGTTTGCCTCAGCCAATCAGTCATTGACAAAACTGATTGGTTTATGTGTCTTCTTGCGGGTGTTGAGTGACAGAACTTTGGTCTTTGTTTTAAGAAGCATGGCAAGTTCTAGTTTCCTCCAGGAAAAAGTAAATTTGATTTTTCTAAAATAAATTTCAGCAGGTTTTTATTCTCGTGTAACATATGAGAAAGATGTCAGTGTCACAAGCTACTTGGAAATCAATTTCCGAGTTCTCCCAACAGGAGTCCAACCTATGACCTTCCGCACACGCCGGTCGGATGTTCTACCGGCTGAACTACAGGTGGCTCGTGGGAGCTTAGGCCATATAACATAGTTACAAGATAATTATGTTGGCTCGATCGGGTTCACTCACTCAACTCACGCATTCTTTTATTGTTAGCTAATTATTGTGGATATCTGTCACCAAGATTTTTCGGTCGACGTCGATCCGTAAGGGGGGAGAGGGGATAGTAAAATTACTATAATACTAGGCAGCAGAGGTTCATTTGGGTGTACTCACGATTCTCTTCACGAATAGACTTTACTTCGGTGTGTAGTGATTTGTGTGATTGACATTATTCCTTATTGACATTATTCCATATAAGGAATAATATTAAGAATCAATATTAATCATAGACAGTTCAGAGACGGAGAATTGAACACATGAGTATAAATTTAAGAATCAAGCCTGAAGAACAAAATCATTTTATATTATACATGTACAAAGTTTAATACCGTAAAACCTCGAAAAGAAGCCCATCTCGAAAAGAAGCCCCCCTCTTAAGTTTGCAAAAGTAATCTCGAAAAGAAGCCCATAGTTAAACCGAATTTCACGGTTGAAAAATGTCTTCAGTAGTCTTACTTATTGTTTTATAGTTGTCAATCTCAATATTTGCGGCATTCATCTCGAAAAGAAGCCCCCCTCTTGAGTTTGCAAAACTAATCTCGAAAAGACGTCCATCTTGAAATGAAGTCCACCCAAGGGTCCTAAATAGAAAACAAACCCACGGACCTCTTTTCGAGGTTTTACGGTACATTGGCCACGAGTATGGCCACGGGCATTGACTTTTCTGGAATCAGTCGCTTTGATCCCCACAAAAGCCCCTTCCACACGAGCAAGTTTTCCTTGACAAGTTTTCACTTGACAATTTTTCCTTGCTCGTGTGGAAAGGGAAATTTGGCAATTTTTAACTTGACAAGTGTCCTTGTAATTGCGAAACTTGTTCGTGTGGACGTGGAACAAGGAAAATATGACAATGAATCCCAGGTGCCCAGCGGCCTTATCTTGTTGCTCGCGACCTGGGTCCTATTAAAGATGATAATCCGCTGTACAACATTATTTTTGTTACAAAGAAAAATTGTCAACGAAAAATTGTTTATCGTCCACACGAGCAAATAAAATTTGTCAAGGAAAAACTTGTCAAATTAAATTTGTTGTTTATCCACACGAGCAAATAAAAATTGTCAATGTCCCTTGTCAAGGAAAACTTGCTCGTGTGGATGGGGCTTTATAAGATGCCACATCTCTTAGCCAAAGATGGACCGATTGCATCAAGCGGTTTCAACTATTTATGGTGGATCCTATTCCTACACACCGACTTCTGGCGGAAGAGATGGCGAAAGGAAACCTGAACTTGCGATAACCGGTTACCAGTTCCGCTAGCCTGCGTAGCTGGCGGTTTTGTTGGCGCGCGATGGCAACGTAACCTCATACCTGATTTACAAATAAAAATGTTTTGTCTTGTTATTTGATGTCTGTCAGTTTGTGGTCATTTTTTGTGATTGAAAGCAATATGATGTGACCAGGTACGATTTTGGCGCAAAAAATTGAGGGGCTGCAATAGCCTGCGTAGCTGGCGCGCGAACAATACCACCAGCTATGAAGGCTTGGGCTGAAATACCATTTTGTTTCTTCATTCTTTGACTCCAGAGCTCTTGAGAGGCCCTTTAGATCTTTCTTGTGAAGTGTTTATACTATTTGAATTTATAGAAAATTGCGTTAGGATATTTCAAACTATTTTTGCAAAAAAAAAAAAAATCATGAACTGCTCTCTTGTAAGGTAAACAATATATGCAGTTTTTAAGCGGCCGACGCATAGCTCGGCCGCTTCAAGAAATGGACTTTTTTTTCATGTCGCTAGCCTTAGTCCTCTTCACGGTTGACATGATGTTATCGCATCTCGGTCTAAAATTAGCCAGTAGAGAATTTCTCTTCCACATTCTTTCTGTAGTGTCGTGTAAGTGCGTAGATGTATTTAGTTTATTACAGTAATCGCATTGGAAAAAGCAAAGACAAATGTCCCACAGCAGTGAACAGCAGTGTTGTTGCAAAATGTGCTAAATTTTGTTGTGTGACCTTTTCTCGTTATTCGATCTCACGGTTGACATGACGCAATCTCTGGTCATGTAAAGATGATGCAATAGAGGTATTGTGCTATGAGCATGAAGCAATCCGCATTGGGATTTCTCTTCCTGATCGCAGTTACGATACCCCGTGGTATATGTTTTTGTAAACGTGATTAGTGTCCTTGGATTAGTGGTATTAAGATAAATTAAGGTTTGTTTTCAAATGACTATTTGTCATTAGTTGATGGCATTTAGATATATATTTCAGTTTCTACACAGTAATCTTAAGTTAACCTATGAAGTCTGGAATAAGCTTATTAATCGTTTGTCGTGAAAGGTTTTAACATTCACACTTTTCCTACAAGAGATGAATAATTCAAATACTTGCGGTGGAGAAATCAAAAATGTGTGCATAAGAACAGTGATTCTTTTTAATACTAATCTGTGAAGCTGATCATGTATGTGCTGATGCAGAGTTTCAGAATGTAGTTGGATAACAAACAAAAAGTCGTCTTTCTTACTTCAGCAGAAATGAAACTTGATGACTTGAAACATTCACAATTTATTTTCACGTTGCGCGAAAACACATCTGTGCCCTTGTTGATTATGATGCAATTGACATTAAGCTCAAACTTACGCTAGCCAAAATATTGCATCACCCAGTCACGTTTTTCGTCACGCAGGTTCGAAGTTGACTCTTAGATTTGGCGGGAGAACCTCAGAGTAAACTGACCGAGGGGGTGGAGGGGTGCATCGTTCTTTCTTCCCTCAAGGTGAAATTGGCCCGGGGAGGTTCTCCCAAAAAATTTGGGTAGGGGTGCGCCGCTGGGCTATAACAACCCTAATTTTGCGAACCTGTTCCAGACTAAGGGCCTGTTTACATGGTAAACAGGCCCTAAATGTTGAAAAAGATACCCTATTCCGGACGATTCTTAACGATTTTCTTTCTAACCCAAAAGGCTAAACTACTACGTAAGCAGCACTGCGAGTTGTAGTTGTAAAGCTTTTTTAACACTCCTACGCGTTTCCTTTCGTCTGACTACTTCATCTACCCTATGCCAGAGTATCAATTACCGATCTTCGTGCCAACTCCTGGGAAACTGATACCCTGATACCCAAAAATGCCTTTTGGTATACCCTGTTCCAGACCAAAATGCTCAAAAACCATACCCTGTCCAGCTGCACGTTCCTATATAGCGAAAATAAGGGAGTTCCCCCCCCCCCCCCGGAAATCGGCCGCTTGTAATCCCTTCAGGGATTCTTGTTTTTTATGTAACCGACATGGAGGACGAACTGTTAGAATCGTGCTTGCACGAAGTTTTATCAACACTTGAAGATAAGGGATTCGATTTCGCTTTGAAGGCTGTCGCATTCAAACTTTGATCGAGCCGGAGCGGAAAAGGTAATCTCAAGAAATGTTCGCGGTTTTTGTTTTGACTGCGATAAGCGAGGTTATAGTTTTGTTTTATGCCATTCCCGAATGGCATATAAAGCTTGTTTTGGCTTAAACCACTCAAATTGGACTCTCTAGGACAAATGGATCGGAAATATTTTGTGAAGGATGTTCTCTTGCGGTGTATGTAACGCTGGTCCCGGCTGTTTAAATCACACGGACGGTAAATAACTTTTGAAATTCTCTCGGCCACAGGCGGCATTGTTACGAAGACTCGATTTATAAGGCCGGTTTGAAGCCATTTTGGCGAGTTACCGTTTTGCGATGTTTCCATTACAGTCAACTCTCGCCTTGCGGACACTCCGTTAATACGGACACCCGCTATTACGGACAAAATCCAGTCCTCCAACCGGCGAAAGCTGTAGAGGTTTGACTGAACAGACTGAAAATGACCTCCAAACTACGTCCCGAGGGTGTCCGCTATAACGAGAGTTGACTGTATATAGAAATTCAAGGCAGGAAACAGCTTTTCAAAGCACAGGCAGACCATCCTCTGTTTTAGTGGTCAGTGTTGCTATTTAGATATTGAGACGAACTACTACAATGGTTCAATGAAGTTTAAAATAAATGTTAAATGAGTTGTGTGGTGGTTTTTCGTCATCCCGGGCTGTGTAAGGCGTCTTTTTGCGAGATACTGGTAGTTATGACTTTGGCCCTTCAATTATTACGTCATTAAAATGAAAGTTTACCAGAGAAAAAAAAAGTATCCTTACCAAGTTTAGATAAAAAGCCTCAGATTTGGAAATTAAACAAATTAATTATTGCAGAGTTATCCAGGAAACCCTGTGAAGTGCTTGTTGCAAAATAGGTGGAAAATTTTGTTTACATGTAATATTTACACACGTCTAAACATTTCAGGATGAAGAGGCAAATAAAACATATAGCCTGTTCCAAGCTCTCGGATAGTGGGGACGAAGCGAAAAAGCGAATGGCCACGCGAAGGTCCCCACTATCCGAGAGCCTGCATGGAACAGGCTAAATAAAACGAGAATATATACACCTCATTCATAAATATATGGCCCCCAACAATTTTTTGTCTGGCAAGATTTTCAAAGAAATTAATGCCAAGCAAGCACTGCAAAATACATGTATGTTATCTTGGGAAGTTTGCGCATTTTTGGTTTAACGGCTGCAAAGTTATGGCCCTTTCAAATTTAAGACACTTTACTTATGGGAAATCAAAACCTATCCTCATAAGCCTCGTTTATATGTTTGTACAAAAATCGAAATGCCTACAACTTCTCCCCAAAATAGGAATATGGCCTTAAACGTACTCGTATTGACTCATTTTGACATGATCTTTCTTGTTATTGAATTCTTTCTTCAGTTATAGGCATTGTCAAAGGCGCAAAATTGTGGGCTATGCACATGCGCAAAACTAAAATTAAAAAGTAACAATTATTATAATTATGACCTCCCGCTACATGTATAACTGACTTTTTAAATCTGGTCTGAAATTAGAGGAATTGTCTGGAAACGGTTTTAGAATTTTGGTCTGAAAAGGGATTTAAAGAACC